CACTCCTATCTGGCTCTTTGTGGTCAGGGATCACTCTTGGCAGGTTTGGGGATCATATTGTATTCCATAAGAACACACTATAAGGGATTGAACCCTGGATTGGCTAGCGCCAGGCAAATGCCCTACCTGCCATAATATTGCTCCAACCCCATTGCTCAATTTGTTTCAAACAGCACCAATATTATTGTTTCATACTTGCAGGGCTGGAGCGATAGCACAGCGGTAGGGCATTCACCTTACAAGCAGCCAACATGGCCGACCCGAGTTCGATTCCTCCGCCCCTCTCGGAGAGCCCGGCAAGCTACCGAGAGTATTCGATATGCCAGACACAGTAACAACAAAGTCTCCAATGGAGACATTACTGGGCCCGCTCGAGCAAATCGACGATCAACGGGAGGGCCTTTACCTTTACCTTTTACTTGCAGTGCCAATATACCTTGCCACCTTCGAGTGCCAGGATTCCTCTACTATTATGCCTATGTTCCATTCTACCCTTATCCCCACTGGTTAGCACCTTCAGATCACAGTTCTACTCATCATATTTCAGGGTTTGGTTCCACTGGGAGTTGCCCAATCCCTTGCTTCACAATTGACTGAGATCATCTGGTGTTTTTGACTGTTACTTTCTGGCACTTAGCATGATTTTCTTCTCCAGTTACATTCAAGTTGCAGCAAACTGCAAGATTTCACCTTTTTCCTCACTGAGTAATATTCCACTCAGTTTCCATATAATAGCTTCTTTATTTATTATATGTAATCTTGCAGTTTGCTGCAACTTGAATGTAACTACCGAGAGTATCTTGCCTGCAAGGCAAAGCCTGGCAAGTTACCCGTGATGTATTCGATATGTCAAACACAATAACAATTGTCACAATGGACACGTTACTGGGCCTGCTCAAGCAAATCGATGAACAACGGGAGTGACAGTGACAGTGACACTTTCTTTATTTACTCATCTGCTGTTGATCACTTTTGTTGTTTTCATATCTTGGCTCTTGAAAATCAGGCTGTGATGAAATCAGCATGCATTAGTCCTTTTGGATGAAAGTCTTTGTTATATTGGTGGAGATGCCCTGGAATGGACATAATTTTTGTACTAAAGCTTACTTTTTAATTATTTGAGAATCCTCTAAACTCTTTTCCAGAGAGGTTGACTCAGACAACAATTCCACCAACAATTCTACTCAACAGCAATTCCCCCTGCCAGCACCTAATGTTCCTCGATCTTTAATGTAGACCATCCTCACTGTGTAATTGTTATTTTATTTTGCATTTCATTGATGATATCAGTAATGATAAATATTCTTATCACTATTGATAATCTTTATGTCATTTTTGAGAAATTATCTAACCACTCTTCATTAAAAAAAAAAACTGCCCTTAGTGGATGAATTTGATTCTTTTGGTGGTGATGAGGTTTCATAATTGTGAGCAGCAAGGTCATAAACATTAATACTAATGATAACATGTTCCCTAAACTACAATAATAATAAACAACTTTAAAGGAAATATTTCTTCTAAAATAACATGATATAACTCTTTTTGAAAATGGAGGAGAAAATAGGAGCTTATTAAAAGATTATGCATCATTTGTCTTTATATCACAGTTCAGGAATAAAACCTTTTAACAAAGTGAATAAATAAACCATAGATGGTATTTTAGGCTTTTCTAAGCAAAATACCAAAAACTTCTATTAAGGCAGAAGTAAGTGACCTCTTTACTTACTAGTGATAAAGTTAATTAGATGTGAAACCTAACGGTTTTTTTTGGAATTTTTTTTTTAAATAACACTTGGGAATCAACAAATTTTGTGGTGGGGGAATTACATTTATTGCTTTTTTATTTATTTAGTTATAATTCAGGCCACATGTTTACAACAGTGATAACTTTATGGTTCTGATATGCAATTCTCACATCTCACCACCACCAAAGTACCCAAGGCCCTCGATCAATCTCCTTATACTACTTCAAGTCCACTTCCTCATGTCTCCCTTTCTTTGCCCCCTTGTTTGGTAATATTAGTTTTGTAATCCAAGGCTGAGGGCTTGTCAGTCATCATTTAATACTGTCAATTTCTTTTTTGTTGTTGTTGTTTCTCAGAGGAGTGAGATTGTGAGGATTTCTCCTTCCCCCTTTGATTTTGCTCAGCAAACAAAATGATAAGCTGTGAAAAGCAATGTGTTTTTCTATTCAAATTTAAAAGTACTGTTTATGGAGTTGTGTTTTGTTGTTATTTGTTAGTATAAAAAATTACCTGTATGGGGACTGGAGAGATTGTCCAAGTAAGGCACTTGACTTGCATGCAGCCAACCTGGTTTTGATCCCCAGTACCACATTCCCAGCACCATATATGGTCCCATGAGCAACCCCAAGTGTGATCTCTATGCATAGAGGCAGGAGTAAGCACTTGGCATGACAGATGTGCCCGCCCCCCCCCCCCCAAAATCTAAATATGCAAAAAATATATTACATTTAGATTAAGCTTAACTTCCACAAAATCACAAAAAAGTCTTTTAAGTCAATGTTGAAAATAAAGTAGAAGCACCTTTGAGAATACGTGGTTTAGTTTTTCAACTTGTTTTACAACTTACCAAATATTTGATTGGACACACAACATATAAACAGGTAATTTAGGGGAAAAGAACGGTATTAACATATTCAACTCACATAGACTTATTTCTGGAAAAAAGAAACAATAATAATGTTATATGAGATGAGTTGTGAATTCTACATTGGAGCTTTCTGAATATTAAGTTTATACATTGTATTACAAACCTTTATCATAGCAGCTGTCCTCTTCACCTTTATTATACTTTCACTTCTCACTTTTTAAAAACAAGTTCTCATATTCTTATTATAAACCATGTCCTGATACTCTAAAGCTTCCTCTTAATTGAGTGGCAAGAAACGTGTCCAAAAGCAGTTTCCTATTTTATGCCAACTCTGGTTCCTTTTTTAATTTCCTTTGTTGGATATTTGCATTATAAAATGGTGATCATTCCGCATGACTTATTTTTCTCACCAATGGTCAATTTGTTTTGACTATGGTAAGTTATTAGTTGATTTGAAACTCTGAAAGTCTTTCTGTTAAGTGTGATTAGCCATTTTGTTTGACATTATGACTCTTTTCTTTGGGTACTGAATGTATATTAATTCATTAAAATTTGATTCGGATATTTAAAATGTAGGAGAATAGTTAAAGTGGATCTAGAGTTTTCTAATTAAAAGATGTTTAACCCTTGAATTAATCAACTTCATGGCAGAGTATTTATCTATGGCTTTGCCAATTAAGTGAAACCAAGTTCATATCATCTCTATTCATAGAATTACAAGTCAGATAAAGTTGCTTTTCAACTCTTTTGAAAACTCAGACAGACATAAAAAGTTTAATTCAGGTTAAACCAGAAACTCAGTGCTACAAATATTGTTTTTTTGTTTTTTTCTGAGAATTTTATGTAATTCAGTTTTACTCAGAGGACATGAATGTGAACGGTAGAAATGGCATAGTTTTGTTTCCTCTTGCCAAAGTTCTTGCTGAGTCCGTTGTCTGGTCGAGCTTAATTTAAACCAACTGAAATTCAAACAAATGGAAATGACACTGGCAAGAGGAACTTTACCTTCTTTTTTCAATTTGGTTTTTACACCACACCCAGACTTACTCCTGACTCTGTGCTCAGGGGTCATTCCTACAAGCGCTCAAGGGACCATATGTGATCAAATCTTTTAAATACCCAATAGTTGTCTGATATTTGAATGCTCAATGCCAGCACAAGTTTGAGAGTTCTTAGTCACAAAATCATTATCATATGGTTTAATATAAATCTTCCTTTTAAAATAGTATACTTAATAATTTCAATTCTCTATAAGTGTAGTCAGAAGCTGCATTAATGCAATATTTATATTAAAATTAATTTATTGGAATGATTATAATGCTTTATAGAGCCTTCAGTTATCTACTGTTATAAATATTGATAGTACAATTAAAACATAAAAAGTCATGGAGCCTTAGCAATACGATGGGTGGGGTGCTCGTCTTTTACGTGGCTGACCCAGATCGATCTCTGGTATCCCATGTGGTCCCTCGGGCACTGCCAAGAATTATCCCTGAGTGCAGAGTGAGGAATAAGTCCTATACGCTGCTGGGTATCATCCCCCCCAAAACAAAACAAATAATAATCAACTCCTTTATGAAGTAACTAGACCAATGAGTAGTTTATTAAGCATTAATACTAAGATTAGGCTGAGAGTTCAATAATATGGAAGTAGTAAATTACTAATTATTATCTGCATATCACTTCCAGTATCAACCCTGCTGTTTTCTCAAGTTATTCTTTCAGAGATATTTTGCATATTTAAATTCAGTTACCATTTTTGAAAAGCAGGCTACGGTCTGGGGAGACAGTACAGCCGCAGTAGTGTGCCTGCCTTACGCACAGCCCACCTGGGCTTGATCCCCAGCACCCACACTGAGGCTACTAGGAGTGATCTCTAAGCACAGAGCCTGAACTCTGTTAAGTGTCACCCCTACACCAAAATAAACTAATTTGAAAAGCAGTGTATTTGGGGGCAGGAGGTGCAATCCTGGTTAGATTCCTGACACCACATGATCCCCAAAATTCTCTGGCCATAGCCCAGGGACATCTGTGAACACCGCAAGGAAGATCTTCCACAGCTGTTCAAGGGTCTGCCACCACCCTTAAAAGGACTCTTCATAGAAAGATTGCATTCATCTGGGGGATATAAAGTAACAAAATATGAGATTAATACCCAAGAATAGCTGAGATCAGCACCAGGAGGATTACTCCATAGCTTAGTGGCCAGTCGAGCATTCTAGAGGAAAGGGCAGCTCAGATAGAGAAGGCAGCACCAAATAAAGGGTGTTTGGAGGATCCTCCCAGGAGGGGAGATGCATGTCGAAAGTGGACTATGGACTGAACATGTTTGCCACTCAATGCCTCTTTTGCAGACCACAGCACCCAGGGGGAGAGAGAGAACAGAAGGGAATGCCCTACCACAGAGGCCGGGTGAGATGGGGGGTGGGTGGGAGTGGGAGGGTTATTATCCATGGTGGTGGAAAATGGGCACTGATGGATGGATGGGTATTTGATCATTGTATAATCGAAACCCAAGCACAAAAAATTGTAAATCTACAACTGTACCTCTTTGTGTTTCACTAATAAAAAGAAAAAAAAAGGACTCTTGCAATAACCACCAGCAGGGGTAACTGAGAATCACCATGAAGGGTGTTTGGGACCTCTGATCACCACTTGGAGTTGCCCCCCCACCCCCAAATAAAAAAGTCAGATGGGAGAAATAGTAGATTTACTAGAATCTACTACTATAATAGCTAAATAAGTTACCTAACTCATAAGGTACATAAGGTCATGGTCTTCCCGTTATTCATTGACTTGCTCGAGCAGGCCCAGTAACATCTTCATCATGAGACTTTGTTGTTACTGTGTTTGGCATATCGAATACGTCACGGGGAGCTTGCCAAGCTTTGCCCTGCGGGCGAGATACTCTTGGTAGCTTGCCGGGCTCTCCGAAAGGGGCGGAGGAATCGAACTAGGGTCAGCTACGTTGGCTGCGTGCAAGGCAAACGCCCTACCGCTGTGCTATCACTCCAGACCAAGGTACATAAGGTATGCAAGGTAAAGAAAGTGGCCTGTATGGTATTTAGAAACTAGTGTAAATTGACTATTAGTACCTGGATGTGAAACAGTGCTAAACCCCTGGCAAGCTACCGAGAGACTCATTCGATATGCCAAACACAGTAACAACAAAGTCTCCAATGGAGACGTTACTGGGCCCGCTCGAGCAAAATTTATTAAATTAAATATAATCAATAAAAATCACTCACTAAAATTTATCATATAGACTAATCAAAAGAATAGACAGTATTGAACAATGAAAAAACCTAGCTTTGGAATACAGAACCAATCACCAAATAGTGGAGGAGAGGAGAAAGAAAACTTACTTAGAAGTAATAGAGAGAAGGGGTGGAGAGTTCTGGGCATCTTAATAGTAGTGATATGAATTAATTTTGTACATGGATACTGAAAATTTTAATACTATTCTAACTACATAAATTATAATAAATTTTTAAAAAAAATTTAAGTCATTCATTATGGAAACTTAATATACTCAAGGTATCATAAGATATAAGAACCTCTTAGCTACAATAAAATAATAATTGGAAAGGATAGAGGTCACTAAATTCAACTTCCTAACTTGAGAAATGTGGAAAATGAATGAGAGTGGTTGAAATTAGTGTTACTTCCTTTCTTATTAATGTATATATGAGGAAATGTATTTACTTATCTAATAATACTCAACATACTACTCCTATGTGAAGGTTTTAAAATAATAACAGTCTACTAGAAATTGAGCTCCCATGTGACCCAGCAATATCACTCTGGGAATATACCCTGGGGGCCCACAGCAGAAACACCATCTGCACTCCTGTGCTCACTGCAGCACAATAGCCAGAATCTGGAAACAACCTGAGTGCCCAAGAACAGATAAAGAAACTATGGTATATGTAAACAATGCAATACTATGCGACTGTTAGGAAAATGAACTCATGAAATTTGCTTATAGAATAGATGAACATGAAGGGAATAAGGATAAGTGAAATGAGTTGAAAGGAAAGGAACAAACAGAATGACTGTATTCATTTACGATCTAAAAAGAACATTACGAGACTAATATCCAAGTCCAGGTAAAACATGGGCCATGAAGTTAGAAGCCTGCCACAAGTGTGTGTGTTTGGGGGGGGTGGAGGCAGGGGGTGAGGGCGATGGGCAGATAAGATAGAGAAGGGACCAGTATAACAATAATAGTTGGAAATGATCATTCTGGACAAGAACTGAATGTTGAAAGTAGGTAAAGGGATATACATGATAACCATTCCGTGACTGTATTGCAAAATCATAATTCCCAAAAGGAAGAGACAGTGAAAGAGTGAGCAAGAGAGAGAGAGAGAGAGAGAGAGAGAGGTGCCTACCATAGAGGCAGGTCGGAGTGGTAGAAATAACTCGGGGCTTTAGTCTTAGTAAATGTACACTGTTGAAGGAACGGGTGTTGGAACATTGTATGAAATGTTTATGAAACCCAATCATTAACCACTTTGTCACTGTGTATTTCACAGTGATTCAATTAAAACATAAAATAAGATAAAATAAAATAAAATAATGACTCACTTATCTGCTTACTTCTCTGAAAGTTTTACAGGGCTGCTGGAGAGAACACAGCTCTGCTTCAAATGAAGTGAGTTCTCTTCAAATGAGGTGAGTGGTAGGTCCTGGAGTAGTGAAGTGGGATGGACAGATCCACTCCCAATGTTAGTTTATTTGTATGGACAGCAAGTTGTCATGAAGTGTCTTCTGAGTGCTCATTTGAAGCTGCAAACAAGAGCTTCAGTTTTACTCAGGGAGTCTGTGTAAAGCTAGGTTGGACTTCTCCCTTCACAGTAATTGAGTTCTGAAGGGAAATACTCCAAGAGCTTGTCTTCCCAAAGGGATAAGATGCCAGTGTACAATGCTTATCAAACCTTATTTTTTTTCTACTTACTGATATCTCTGGCATATCGAATACTCTCGGTAGCTTGCCAGACACAGTAACAACAAAGTCTCCAGTGGAGACGTTACTGGGCCCGCTTGAGCAAATCGACGATCAACGGGAGGGCCTTTACCTTTACCTTTACCTTACTGATATCTCATTGGACAAAATTAATTACATGAATGTGCCTGGACTCTATGTAGGAAAAGATCATAATACAAGAGTCTGACTATTGAAGTAGAGTGTTGTTCATTGGAACCAGCATGACAAGATCAAACTGTCACTGTCACTGTCCTCCAGTTGTTCATCGATTTGCTCGAGTGGGCACCAGTAACGTCTCCATTGTGAGACTTGTCGTTACTGTTTTTGGCATATTGAGTACACCATGGACAAGATCAAACAAAGAATGCAAATAATCCTTTGTGATACAGATAATATTTTACTATACCTCTCAGTGGATTGATATAAAGGAAAATAATTCATTCTGAAGAACCATTTGTTTTCAGTATTTTTTGGAGGTGAAAACCAGAAAAGTAGCCAACTTAGGCTGGGGGATTAGCCACTGGGAGAAGGCCCTTCATGCCATGCTGCAAACTCCTTTCTTGCTATCAATTCTGCAGTCAAGTACAAGTAGAGACATGTTTCAACAGGTCCAGGCTGTTGTACTTGGTGGTATAGAGAAGCAACTTGGCAGATTCTAGTATGTCCTTGGACAATCACTCACCGTACTAGGTTTCATTTTCTTTATTTCTGAAACTAGAGATATGCTTGCAATTCTTTTTGACTATTATGTTTTATTATTTATTAATTATAATTCTAATGGCATAATCTCTATTTGGGGGGAAGGGGGCTGCCTTGTGTGCTGGTGATTATGTCTATCATTGTAATGACCCAGCAATATCACTCTGGGAATATACCCTGGGGACCCACAATAGCCAGAATCTGGAAACAACCTGAGTGCCCAAGAACAGATAAAGAAACTATGGTATATGTAAAGAATGCAATACTATGCAACTCTTAGGAAAATGAACTCATGAAATTTGCTTATAGAATGAATGAACATGAGGTGCAGAGGATGTGGCCTCTCACACATACAAGTCATGCCTCGTCACCTGTCACAATCCAAAACCTCCAGGTCTGTTTATTCTTTATTTCATTTTTTGGGTTGTTTTTATTTTTATTTTTTTTTTTTTGGGCAGGGGAGTCAGGGGGAGGGGACACTCATTTCGAGTGCAGGGCTAAATCCTGGTTCTTCACTCAAGGAACATTCCTGAAAGAGCTAAGGGAACCATAGGTGGTACCATGGATCTTAGCTGTGTCTTCAGGATACAAGACAAGTGTCCTGTCCCTGTACTATCTCTCTGGCCCCTGTTAATTGTTTTCTTAACAAGCACATTTCTTTAACCAATTGGAGTCAGTTAAAGCTAATTAAGATCTAGTAAATTTGAATTTATTATTTTTTTATTGAATCACTGTAAGATACATAGTTACAAGGTTGTTCATGATCCACTCTCAGCCGTACAATGTTTCTACACCTGTCACTGCACTAGTGCACATTTCCCACATTTTCTACCAACAATGTCCCCAGTTTTCCTACCTGCCTCCCCCACCTGCGACCTGCCTCTACGCAGTCTATCTCTCTCTGTCTGTCTCTGTCTGTCTGTCTGTCTGTCTGTCTGTCTCTATCTATCTATCTATCTATCTATCTATCTATCTATCTATCTATCTCAGTTTTCTTCAAGGCATTGTGGTTTGTAGTTTGTGTATTTGAATCTGGATATTTCCATTTTTTTCCCAGATAAGCACTGCCTATGGGGAGTGGAGGGGCACGGGCTTACTTTGGCTCTTGGTTTTGTCGTGGCCAGCTCTTCCTCTACGATAGAACTTGGTCACCTTCTTGCTCAAAAGGCTGAATTATTTCATGGGTTGCTAAAACAATAAAGTGAGATAAGAGAAGCGGAACACTTAACTTCCATTAGGGGCTGACTTTTTTTCCTGCTCCTGCGACCACATACTATTGATTCTGAGAGATTGGTTATTGGTGAGAAGAAATCTGTGATTGGTAAAAAGAAAAGGCTTTACTCTTAGGTATTCACTAATCACTAGAACACTAGCTGTATCCACACCACAACTTTCTCTGTTGCTAAATCTGTGAGACTTTCACTTAAATACAAGGAATTACTCAAGAAGAAGCAGAGAGAGAGAGAGAGAGAGAGAGAGAGAGAGACAGAGACAGAGACAGAGAGACTTTTTAAAGACTTTTTAAAGCACCACTCCCTGAGATTGTGCTATTGTGCCTTTGCCCTGTTCAGAATTCACCAATGACAAAAAACTCTTTTTTTTTTTTAACTTTAGTTTCACTTTTGGGATAGCTAATTTACTCCACTTCCCTAAAGGCAGCATCTGGATCTGGATTCAAGAAAAGAAGGAACAGCCGGTCATGGTCAGAGTAAGTGAAGTTGTATATCATAAATGTTAATGTTAAAGGTATGATTTAAACAAAAATAACCTGATGTTTTAATTGATACGGAATCTTTAGTTTTGGGTCAGTCTAGCATGCACTTTGGTTTTTTGCTTTGGTTTCTTTGCTCTTTCCCTGTTATGGGACTTGTAATTCAGTAGAAATCATTCAGGATATAGAGGAAGAAAAAGGAGATGATACATCCTGGGGAGAAGCTCACTGTCATTCAAAGAACAAGTAATAGCAGCAATTTCTAGTTGACAGAAACTTTTTGTGCAGCAGCTACATATTTTTCTTTGTAGACTTGTCACATCATGGCCACTAAGGAATCAGTTTTGAACAGCCACTTACAAACAACACCTCTTAAAGACACAAAGTCCTGTGCTTTTTACAGAGCTCACCTCTCATTCACAGCTGTGTTGGCTGGAAAGAAAAAAGGAGTTTGCCCTTAAAAAATAATAATGTGCCTATTCCTAAGGACAGTAGAAACAGGGGCCAGGACGACTAGTCCACCGTGGTTGGAAGTTTGCCACCGGTGACGAGGCAGGAGGGCAGTTAGGATAGAGAAGGAACTACTATGACAATGATAGCTGGAAATTAGTACTCAAGAACTAAGTGCTGAAAGTAGGTAAAGGGACAAAAATGACAATCTTTCAGTATCTGTATTGCAAATCACAATGCCCACAAAGAAAGGGAGAAAAAGAGAGGAAGAGAAAGAAAGAAGAAGAGCACCTGCCATAGAAGTAGGATAGGGGTCGGGAGGGCAGGAGTAAAATGGGGGACCCTAGTGGTAGAAAATATACCCTGGTGAAGGGATGGTTGTCAGAATATTGCATGACTAAACCCCAATCAAGAACAACTTTATAAATGTGTGTCTCGTGTTGAGTCAATAAAAAATAATTAAAATATTGTGCTTATAAAATCTTTAAGGAGTTCCTGCTAGTTTACAAATGATTCTCTATGGCCCTAATACAGATGAATGGGGAAAGATGACAAGTGAAAAGGAAAGACCCATCAATATGTTTATGTCCATATCAATTTACATATATGTATAATATATATATAATTGTATATAGAGATTTTTTAAAAAATAGCATGGGCAACTGTGAGTTATTCAGACAAAAGTTTCAGAAAGTTGCCTCTTAATGTCTTGATTGCATATGAATGAAGCTGATAAATTAGGGAAAATTGTGAAATGTTCAAGCAAAACCATACAAAACTGTACAGTAGTTAACTCTTAGTAGCTTGTCTCCAGACTCATATGATGTGATATGGTCTCTTTCTTGGACAAAGAAATGTCTTCATATCCACCTTGGAAAGTTTTTCCAAAATTTCCAGCTTGTGAGTGAAGTTACTAAAATTTCTTTTTAGCTTTCTTTGTTTTTGTTATGTCTCTCTTAATATGAGTATTTGTGTACTCTAATTTCATCCTGCAGCTGTAGTTTTATTTCTTTTATGGACGCTCATTCTAGAACATTGCTTTCATACAGGTGGCATAGCTAGAAACTTAGTGAAACTTGGCATATCTCAAAACACTCCTCCCCCTCACTTTTAATTGTTCAGCTTGATGTGAAATTTTAGGTGAAATTTGAAATATCTTTATTATTGCTACTAATTATAAGTTTTCTTGGGTGTTTGTTAAACAAATGAGTGAAATTAAACCAACAGAAACTTTGGTTATAGAACCAGGCGTAATGTTTGGTCAGCGAATGGCAAAAGGTTCAGTTGTATGACAAAGGATACACTTGGACTTGCAGAGATGAACCTCATCTACATTGTCTTATCATTATAATGCAATGAGACTTTCATAAACTCCAAAATAAAGAAAGAACATAAGTTGAACAAATAGTGGGTTGAACAAATAATGACTCAAAGGATTGGAGCACAGGCTTTGTTCCAGTGGGGTTTGATCCTGCACTTCAGTTTGCCCCAAACCTCTTCATTGGGAAACAGTCTTGAACCTATTGCCGGAAGTGGCCTCTAGGTCCCCTGGGTACCGAGTGGAACGATCCTTGCTCCCCCATCCCCTCAAACATTCATTTTACATCAGGATCTTTCCCCTTTGGAAGCAATTGGGCACACATTATCCTTAGGAGGTTTTTGAAATCTTTTTAGTAAGTGGTCATACTTCTGAAACTTTGAGACTCTTCATGTGTACTTTCCTTTTTCATTGATCCTGCCTTGCACTTGTCGAGACTTTTGTTTTTTATCAAATGCTGCGTGACTGCGGATGTGGGATTATTTTCCAGTTCTTTAGAGATATGTTTTAAAATAGCTTAGTCCTTCTCAATAATTCTGAGCTCTAGATTTATTTATTTATTTATTTATTTATTTATTTGCTTTTTGGGTCACACCCAGCGATGCACAGGGGTTCCTCCTGGCTCTGCACTCAGGAGTTACTCCTGGCGGTGCTCAGGGGACCATATGGGATGTTGGCAATCGAATCCGGGTCGGCTGCGTGCAAGGCAAATGCCCTACCCGCTGTGCTATCTCTCCAGTCCCCCTCTAGGTTTATTTTTATTTTTATTTTTTTACAATTCTCAGGGATGGCTCCAGGCTCTGCGCTCAGGAATTACTCCTGGTAATGCTTTGGGGACCATATGGGGTGCTGGGTATGAAACCCGCCTGAGTCATCCATGTGCAAGGCAAATGCCCTCCCCATTGTACAATCGCTCTGGTCCCTAAACTCTAGATTTAAAGATAAATGCTTTTACCTCTAATTCCTTATTAGTATAATTGTAAACATGCTAGCTTTATTTTCCTCAAATTATTATGCTAAATTATTTTGTTCTCTAAAACATACCTATAATTTTTTGCCATGACTTTTAGATCTTATGAAAAAATTATTTTAGTATACTTATTATTAGCTTATCACCATACATTGAGGACGTCTTAGATTAATTTAAATATTGGTAAGCAAACTGGCATAAGCCAACATAGGAGAGAATATCATACTGGGTCCGCATTTTAATAAAATTAAGTTGTGATGATATATAAAGGTAACAGTGGTTTTCTTGAGTTGATTAACTTCCCACAAAAAGTTATTCATCCAACACATATAACTCAACACCAGCTATGTCTTACTCATTCTTCTAGGCACAGGAAACACTGCACAGGATAAAAATAACCGTGAGCTCTATCCTGATAGCAATTGATTCCAGTGAGAAGTAAAAGAGTAAACAAACCTTATTTCAGATAGTTCCCAGTAAACATAACATGGAAAAAGTATGGTTCTGAAAGAGAAGCCAATGTGAGGTTTCTCACATTTGACTGTAATACCTACTACAAAGGAGGGTATGGTGCCACCAGTAGGTCAACCTATAATTGTGGAGTGAGAGCATCAGCAGTCTTATGGTGCCTTCAGGCTTCCTGATACCCCAAATTTGCCACTGTGCCTCTGGTCATACCCCAACAACTCAGGACCAAGTTTCCTGAGAAATTCAGTGGCCAAAAGTTAGGTATGTGGGACTCACACTCACAAACCACATTCTGGCTCAACTCTACAAGCTCATTTATTGGTCTTGCTTAGAGATCCATACATAAATCTCAAAAAAGATCAAAAGCCACAGTTAATCTTGGAACCAACAAGTCTGAACAGACCAGAGTAAATCAAAGGGGGGCAGGTTAGCCTGGTACCTTCCCAAGCAGAGCCCCCAGCAGCTTCTTGTTCACACAATCCAAAATTGCCACCATGTCTTCCACCAGAATCCACTGTCTCAGGACAGACCTCACCAAGACATTAACTGGTTGAAAATTTGGATACGCGGGTTTTACAGCTGAAATCTCCAAGCTTTCTCGGAATTGGGATGGACTACCTTCCCAATTTCCAAAGCTACTTCAGCCTTATGTTGCCGATAAAAGTACTGAATGCCCTGAACAAACATGAGACCTCTCAGTACCTGTATTGCAAAGCATAATGCACAAAAGGAAAAGAGGAGAGAGAGAGAGGGTGCCTACCATAGTGGGAGGCTGGGGGTGAAGGGGAGATGTTGGGGGTGAGAGAAACGGATTGCATTAGTGGTGGGAAATGTACACTAGTGGAAGGATGAGTGTTGGATCATTTTATGATTGTATCCCAATCATAAACAGCTTTATAATGGTCTAACTTATGACTATTCAATAAAAAAATTTTAAAAATGTTATGTGGGGGTTTTCAACCCCTGAGCTGCGCGGGACGGGCACGGAGGCCCAGCTCTGGGCAACAAAGCTGAACGGCTCCAATTTCAAACAGGTACAGCCCGCCTCCAAGGGCCTGGGACCCTTTCTGGGCATGTGCAACCTCGATCCAGCCCCTAGACAGCCGGTTTTCAACCCCTGAGCTGCGCGGGACGGGCACGGAGGCCCAGCTCTGGGCAACAAAGCTGAACGGCTCCAATTCCAAACAGGAGACTTTCCCAACTCCTCGCCCAGTGCCAGGGACTCTTTCCGGAGCCGCGGCCGCTAACGCGGCCGCGAAATATTTTCCCACTACATATGCCATAGGAACCATAAGCTACCTTCTTAGATGGAAACTTCTCTATTTTAGCTCAGCCACTAAAAACACAGTAGCCAATAACTCATAAGCCTATCTTAACTCACACTGCATATCAAGCAGAATAGTAACACTGAACGTGAAGGACTAAACCACACCTCTCACCATGGTAAAGCAATGCAAAAGCCCACCAAACTTTCATATTGAAGAGTCTAGCCCAGATGACACCAACAGTACTGTAGTGTTAGACAACCTCTCTGACAAGGAATTCAGGAGGGAGCTACTTAGGATGCTTAGGGAATTAAAAGAAACAATGGAAAGCAATGCCAATAGAAGACAAGAGGATCTGAAGGCAGAAATGAGGAAAATGCAATCAGAAATGTCAGACCTGAAAAATCTCGTAGGCGAATTGAAAAGCTCAGTGGAAGGCCTCAGCAGCAGAGTAACAGCTGCTGAGAACAGAATCAGTGAACTCGAAGATGAAGTTCAGAGACTCTCCAGAAAAGAGCAGAAAATG